TTTTTTTTATCTTTCTTCTTTTTTTTTTTCGAAACAATTCGAATCATACGAGTTTGATCGAATCTTTATCGTTAGGAAAAAAAAAAATTTTCCATTAAAACATTAACACGATAAATATTTATCATTAGGTTAAAGAAAGGTAAAAGGGTGGAAAGAGAAAGAGAAAGTTCGTTAAAATGAACAAAAAAATATTTCGTTTCTAATTACGAAAAAAAACCTAGTTGCCTATCTGTTTGCCTACCTGGTATCATTAATACGCTTGTAGACTTTTAAATAAACTCATTTGAAAATTAAAATAGCGTTCATTGCCTTTTCGGGGACCGGAGGTACACACATTTCTTCGCTATCTTTGCAACATGGTCTTCGAACGATTATTTTAAGCGGCTGAAATAGTATACGAAATTGTTCTCGATAAATAATATATTCAATTCATTTAAACATATTTTTTTTATATCATTTTATTTTAAATCGTTCCAATACCGCGTTCATGAGTTTGTATTTCAAATTAATATTGTAAATTTTACGCGAACAATTTTTCATTTATTTTATATTATTTTACTGAATTATAAACGATCCATTTTTGGTTATTATCTATTATCTTTTTCTGTAAAATATTCGATCGTAAGTAACTCGGTAAAAAGACATAAAAGATTAAATATAAAAAATAAAACCTTAAGAAAGATCTGATATATATATATATATTCTAATTACGATCGATCGATGAAAATATTTTAACGTAATTACCCAGTTTTCCCCCGGTGTATATTCCATAATACGAACTAAAAGAAATCGATGATTATATTAAAACGTCAAAGGCAAAACTATAATAGGTTCATTGATTTTTAATGAAGTTCGTCGAGAATCGAAATGATCGATCGTAATTTTATTTCGAGAATTCGTTATTATATATTTATTTGTATTTTTTTTTAATTTCTATATATAACATTTTCAATAAATTATCCTGAAATTCGAAACTTACAAAATTTCGATAAATAATATCAAGACCAACCATAAAAATTGCTATCATTTATAATTGCATTATAAATTTAAATTTTATACAAAAAATGTATTTAAAATTCTTCGAGAAGTTAAATATCGGTCAAGTTATTTTGATAATAAAATTATCACAAAATTCTAAAAATTGATTAAGCAACATTCTTTGCCTCGTGAACGATACAATTATTGATCGTTTCGTATATTCGTTATATTAATAAAATAATAAATCATTTTAATCGTTTTACCTCAACCGATTCCTTTAACGATGTCGTTAAAATATAATCTTCGATTTCCATCGTCATCTGTTTATCGTTACGACACTTACAAATTCTACTTAAAAACGACATTGTCTTCTTGGTATCCATAATATTTCATGTATGTTTCTTTCTCGCGAATGAAACTTGTGTTAACTGCACGAAGTCAAATAATAAACTGATCTAATAACACCTATCAACCGATCGGATATAACAACTATGAACAAAGCGATCAACGATTGATTAAACGGCAATAGAAATATCAAAATATTACTAAAGTCATCCCGCATTATCTTTTTCTTCAAAATGTCTTTTGTTTTATTAGGATTATATATTGAATTATGTTTCCCGGAAGTAAATAATCATTTTTAATTAAATATTTAGGCGTGACACAACGCGGACGCGTATACAAACGTATTGAATTTGTAAAGTATATCGAATATCGAGCTTTTTTTTTTATTAGATCTTGATCACCTTCGAACGTCTTATCTTTCTTTAAGTTATATTTCTTTTAAAAAATAAAATATAGAAATTTGTCCACGTCACTAACATAAGATGACGTTTCCTGTCGCATAATCGCATTTTTTTAATCTCTTTCTCACGAATGTAAATATGTATTTACGTGGGGTAACACATGTGTATACATATACATTAAATGTGTGTACGTTGTATGTTTGTATACATATGTCTCTATAAGCACATACGACGTGCGATTTCAACGAGTTAAAAGTATAATATATCTGAAAATAGAATAACTTGAAAGGCACCGTGTATCTTATCTAATCCATGAATCAATCGTTAAGTTTTCGAATCCCATTTAAACATATTGTTATGTTTTCCCGCCTAACGAAAAAATAAATTCGCCAATAAGAAATCATTCTTTGAGAATTAGTGATTATAATTTTTACACGTTGAGTTAATGTTTTAAGTCTTGGAAATATTAAAAATTATTTATCCGTATCTTTGTAGTCGTTATAAAAGGATATATTCTTGACTCGTAAAAAAAAAAGAAATACAAAGAAAAACATTCTTCTATAATCGTACGCGTACGCTTTAAAAAATTATGGCAACTAATAAAATTAAATTTATTTCGTTCATTTGGGTTTATTTACGAATATTGCCCAGTTAATTAATCGTTATCTCGTTTATTTACGATGCTCTTCAATATTGAAGGAAATTGTATAATTAAAAAGTGACTTTATCTAAATCTACGAATAAATTAAATACAACGACAAAATAATAATAACGACGAAGCGACGACTAAAATATAACAATAAAATTATAATTGTCTCTGTGTGTAATTTTCTCTTCGTAACGCGTTAAATAATGCATTTGAAATTAATTCAGGAAATCTTCGTTAGAGTGCACTATCGTTGAAACAAAACATGCGCGCGCTCTATTTTTATAATTTGAGTTACGCGCATATTATTATATACATACTATATAAATAAATAGATGTACCTTTCATTCTTTCGTCGAGAAATTATCATTCAAGTTTATCGATCGCGAGTTATTTTTTCCTTTTTTTTTTTTTTTCGTAATACTCGCATAACAATTTATATATCCTAGCTATATTTTCATAATCTCCATCGTTGGATGAGTTTACGATAGGCAATAATATAGCAATAAAAAAAAAATGAACTTTTAAAAGATACTCATTGTAAATATATTATACATTTGTCGGTATTAAATAATCACCACATGCTTAACATTATCGATTCTTTTTTTTTTTAGCAATAATAAGCAACAAATTATGACTTTTTCCAAAGATTAACTTCCTTACAGATAATTAAATATCGAAAATTATCTGTTGAAAAAGTAAATATAACGAATATTAATATTAAATATTAATGAATTGATTTTGCAAATCAGGAATTTCGTAATACGAGGAAATCTCACTGCGTTGTATCGGAACATTATTAATTTGTGATTTAAACATTCATTCGTTAATGTTCTCTTTATCTTTCTCTTTAACTTCCTACTCTCTCTCTCTCTTTCCCTTGTTGTCAGTATCCTTTTTTGTCGCACATTCATATCGCACGTCAATAAATCAGAGATAATGGACAAAAAGAAACATTATGTATTTTGACGCATATCGATGGACCGTAACAGCGCAAATAATATCATTTCGTAATTTATCGACCTTGTAACCCTCCCTATCACCCCCCGACCGTCTTTCTCTTTCTCTAATTCTCTATTGGTCTATAATGACCAATTTAGAACGAACTGGTTCGAACCACACGATGCAGGAGGTTAAAATCAAAGAATTTACCCTAACAAGCTCTAAACATTTAAATCCTATTGTATATACACACTACGATTAAAGTAAATCCCTTAGAAAAAAAAGACATGTTTTATATTTTGCAGATCACATCGTAAACTAGAATAAGTTCCCTTATAGATGTAACGTTCAATTAGCGAATTAACGAGTCACCTTGTAATAATTAATAAACACTCTCGTAACTAATTCGTAACTAATTAGACACTCTTCCTTACACGTAACCTTCCTCGACTTATGCAATGGGAGAAAGTCAAGGCCATTTTAAAGAAGGTTAAACGGTATCAGACTCACCGTTTGATCTATAAACTCCCATTTCTCTTCCAAGTAGTTCCAAGATTCTTCCGTCATCTCCGTTTTATTCAAGGTCGATATTGTTCGCCAGAAATCCTCGTACAATCTGATGTTCCCGATACACGTAGAAAAGGAAGAAGAGTGAAAACTCGCGATCAATCTATTTTTTTAAGGGAGAGTATTCCAAGTGCGTAACGATCGCTGATTAATGAGAGCCGATCTTTGCGCCTCCTTAGTGATCACTAAAAGCTTACATCACACGAGTCCTACATCCGTCTATCTCTTTTTTCGCGGCTAGAAATACAACGACTTCTGTGTGCGTGCACAGAAAATTATTTTGGGCGATCGTGACCAAACGAATTCTCTTCAAGTTCTGATCTTGGATCTTTTTGATACCTCCTTCTTACTTATAGTAATCATGATATTTATGAAGTATCTTCAGCCTTATATCCTTCCGATTCCTTTTATTAATATTTCATTACTTAGGACTAAATGATTCATGTTAATTGTTTCCAAAGAGAAAATGTTTAACGATGCAAAATATCGTTTTGTTGTCTTACAAGGGGGATTACCCCTTTATCATTTCGTTGTCGAGATTTGTTTTACCGACTGAACGAACAAATCCCTCAGTCGTCGATATTCGATTTTTTTTCTCCACTTCTTTTTGTTTCTTATATTAAAATTTATGATCGATTTATATATGTGTCTATTATTTTTGACGTTATAATTTTTCAGAAATTTTGTTGATAAATTAATAATAATTGATCTCTTATCAATAGAGATACTTTCGTATATTTTGATCGTTTCCAGATCGGTAATTTGTATATTCAAAAATGGCGCAACGGAGAGTACAAAAGAACATCGATAAAAATATAGACAATGAGTTTTCATTTTTTTCAATTAGTCGACAATTGCCGTTCAAGCATCTTGCGTTGTTAGTAATATCAGTGTTTTAAGATTAATTAACAATTATTATTTTTATGAAAATCTAAAAACATAAACATATAATTAAATTTTGTTAAACACGTGCTTTTTCTCTCTCTATTTTTTGTTGAAATAATAAAATTTTTATCGGCTTATCTAAATACGTGTTAATCGATAGAAATTTTATTGAAAATATTACTTTTATTATTAATAATTAAAAGAGTATCGCAAATATTAGCTTGAAAAAGATACTATTTGTGAACGTGGTTGATGATAAAAAATCGAAGAGTCTAGTACACGCAATTGCAATTTAATATTCTTCATTCATCAATATGGCGGACGACGGTTTACTCGTTACTATTTCGGGCGCTGCTCTTTCTTTATTACTTTACGAAAATGTACGCAACGTCGGAGATCAGGTAAGCTCTTTTACATAAGTTTATTCGCGTATTTATGTTATCATTCTCGTAGCGGCATTTATTGTTGTTCATTATTTCAATCATAATGTATTAACTTAGAATGCACCTAACCTTTTCCGATTGGACATGGTACTTAATATACAATAACATATCAATCGAATTGCCTACAGATGGGCTTTTTACTCGGTGAAATAGTCGAATACATTGTTAAAAAGGTCACGGATTCTGACAATCAAGTGGATACAGTTAAAAGACGTATAAGTAAGTATTGACTGTCAAAAATCTTTCTTTGTGTATGTCACCGATAATTAAAAAAGAGAGAACTTTTTTGAGCTTATAATTAATAAGATTGTACAATTTGGAATAAGTGTTTATCATAATACATAACGTCTCACAACATAATTTGACAAGTTATGTATATTTGTATTAAATGGAGTTTCATATGTCTGCAACATCTTGTAGTATGTATTGCGATAATAGTTGCAAAGGATATACATTTCTATATATTTTTTTAGATATCGAAACTGTTGTGACATGCTCTATGCCAGATATTTTACATGATTCAACCGGTAGAATTGATAAAGAGAAGTTGAAAGATTTCTTATCTCATAAAAGCAAACAAGTTATCGGATGGTTTAGATTTAGGCACAACTTATGCTTGGTACCTACTTTAAGGGATAAACTTTTGCACAAACAATTTGCTTCATACTTCTCTAGTAGTCATGGTTATAAAGAGGATTTCTTCGTCACCTGTTTATTGTCCTCTTCCGTATCAAATGCAAGCGGAACTCATAAATTTAGACACGTTCTCTTGAGACGTAGAAGAGGGTGCGTATATATTTTATTTTTGGTTTTATCTTAATAGTAATAGAATGTCACATTGTAGGACATTTGAGCCAATATCCTTGAAGATAAGTAGTTTAGGGGATGGTAAATCTCCACTCGATGGTTCTGATTATAAACTTACACCGACGAAAAAATCCGTAAAAGAGATTGATACATTTACTAAAATAATACAATCGCTCAAGTAAGTGATGCGTTGATTATGTAACAAAGCAATGACATTATTGCAATTTTAATGAATCGTCCTTTTTTAGATTAAATCTTACACAAATATCTAGCGTTGAATCCGCAACTCTTATAGAAAAAGAAGCTGAAAAATACTTAAATACGTTAATATCGAAAGTTTGTGAATCTGATCGTGAAGTTTATGAATTGGAAAAGCAAATAACAGAACTGAGAACTAAAATACGTCTGCAGAACTTAGCTAAGACAAAAGTTACTTGTAATTCAGATACGACCGAGTTGAATCATGAAATTGATAAAAACAGTGGTTACGAAGAAAACAAATTATTGACAGAAAAAGTAGATGTTCCTGATAAAATCTATGAAGAGGATCAGCTAAACAAGTACCATTCTTTAACAGTATGTTATCGTCATCGTTATCTTCTACTTTCATGAGTTTAGTCTTACGATTTCTTATTTTGCCTTTTACTTAGGATGAATCAAGTGACAACCGACCAAGTAGTACAAGAACTGTTCTTGCAGAAAGTATGTCCAAGGAAAAGCTGAAAATAGGATTAAATGCAGATGTAGAGAACAGTAAAACTCGTGATAAATTTACTACGAACATAGTTTCAGATGTTAAATTAGATATGGTTGGAAGAAAAAACAAATGCTCAACCAATATGTTTTCTGAGATCTCAAGACAACCGATAAATATGGGTGAACAGATTGAAAGTGGTGTCGGTAGAGGTAGTCCAAATTATGGAAGAATTAAACGGGGGTCAGCATTGAGATATAACAGTGAAAGAAAAATAGTAGAATCCTTTGAAAAGTCTTCGATAAAAAATACTGTTGAAAACCAGCATTCTCCTATTTACGAGGAAACTTTGAAAAGAAATATAGATGTACGCAATTTTTCAGATACGTCAGATATTCATTGAACTAAATATAGTATTATGGAATTTAACCATTCTAGGGATTGGATAATCCTTAGCTTTCTCTTTGAAAGCTCTCTATGAAAATACTTAAAGTTGTTCCAAAGCGTTTTACGCAAATAAATTATGACCATATTCTTAGAACTACTTTATGCTCTACAAGATGCGTTGTAAATATTTCTTACGCTAAAATATAACAATTTTGAAACTTGAATAAAATAAAATATATTTATGGCTTACTTATTGATCGGATAGTGATATTTCAATTTTGTTAGAAAATGTTATAAATGTTCATAACATTTATTTTTTTTAAAGAATTATAAATATCTCTTTTTTTTATTATTTCCAATGGACCTACATATTGTTAAATGTTTTCAATATGTAATTAATTTCCCTGTTACGTTACGTTGAGTAATAATGTGTAAGGAATCGTAAACTGAAGCTGTGTTTTTATGACCCTTATTATGCTTAAGTAAAACTTGGGAAGAATATTGAAAGGTTTTTATACTAATACTTTCCTGTGTGTATAACATATTACTTTAAATTAATAAAGGTATAAAATAAATATGTATTTTTGAATATTGTATTTTATAAATACTGAATTAATACATAACTTTGAACACCTCGATAGATAAGACGTTCAAAATTTTCTCACTATTTCTTTGTTTTTTTTTTATTTTACACTTTCACTGCATAGATATAAATAACTGTTCCAATATATATATAAAAAGATTTATGGCAAATTATTACAGAATATCAGCAGGATTGTTTGGTATACCTGTAACTTCCCATATAGTAGCTGCAAGTCTTCTGGAGTGTTCCAAAACGCAAGACGAAGTAGCCAATCCTAAATGTACACAGTATAATTCATAGATCCTAATTTTATTTGGTGAAAGTTTAGGAAAACACGCTTCAGCCAGTTTCCTAAAGAGAGAATCGTAATTTAAAATATTTATTATTTATATTAATAAAAAAAAAATATATATACGATATATATATATATATTTATGTAAAATAGGAATTGAAGAAAATGGCAACAAAAAATAAAACTATGACATGAAAGACATATGTGTAGTCCATAATTTAGCTCATAATTTAAATACCTGTAGTAGTCCCCGCAAAGTATACCAGGTACTGGAAAATTTTTCATCAAATGATTCAAATAAACTTTTGATTTAAGTGGAGATCCCTAAATGGTTAATACAGTTTTGTTAATTATTTTATTTTATATATTTATAAATATGTACAACATTTTTAATACATACCGAATTGTCTTCGAACCATAAGAAATAAGCATAATTAAATGTCGTATCTTTCCACATAACTGATAAATGTCCTTCTTGCAGGTGCATTCTACTTTGTTTCACCATATTCCAAATCTGTATATAAGCAAATCAGTATTAATATTAAATAAGAAATTTGATAGCTCTTATAATTAATAATTGATACCTTTTTTGTAGTAAGAGCAAGAGTTTCAGAATTGGTGAAATCTAATGTTGGTGCTGTTAGCCTATGGGTTGTTCTATCAATGTAAATAAAATGCACCAAGCCTGGAAATTCTTCTAAATATTTGTTGATGGTTAGGGAAGTTCTCGTAGATTATATGGCATTAAGGACCTATATTATAAACTTTGCATACTTCTATCTAATATTAATGCATATATTAAAGAAAAAAAGAAAAAGAAATGTATATAATAAGAAAGCATAAAGAAACAAGAAATAACATTTTAAGAAAGGATATGATCCAAGAGTGAAGTTCTTCAATGCCTTTACTTTAAGGAAATCACTGAAATCATTCAGTTTTTGTCGCACTAAACGGCCCACCGTTGTTAGTACATCAATACCTTGTTTTAAAAAATTTCTATCAAAACATGTTAAACGAAATAATTCTTTAACAGTATCCGTAAAGCCAGATGTATTAGATTCGATTTGAAGAATCGATTCTGGGTCCCTAGATTTTAAAAGTTCCATATATTTCTTTTTCACAAATTCCCATTTAACTTGCAATCTTCTTTGGCACATATCAACATCGTTATTAACATTGGCTCGATTTTTCTTAATTCCATCTAAACCTTTTTTTATAGACATGTCAAGATTATCAAATGCTGGTCTTAATTCGTCGAGGTCCCTTTGAAGTTGTAGACCATTTATGATATTTAAATAATGGAATGTATCATATAATCCGGACGATGTGGCAAGATTGGTAACTTCTATTATAGTTACAAGATAAATACCATCATCTATTTCAAAGACGTGGACAGCATTTGCGGTATAATCGTGTTCAGATCCAAGGAGAATTATTTGACTGTACAAACCATCATGTGCTAAGGAATGAAGATCTTCGCTTAGAGAAGATTCTCTTGACCCTCCTGCAATGCAGTATAACAAATAATAGGTAATAAATATTAATAAATAATAATATTCTTTTTATAAATTATACTAATATTGATATCTTACTAAATAAATTAGTAATATCTTCTAATGTGGGATTTGATAGCTTAGCACCAAATGGTTTTGATTCTTCTTCTTTGGAAGAACTATTATTTGGTAATAGAATATCACCGTTATCCTCTCCATTTTCATCAATTTCATTGTCAGTTTGTTTCTTATGATTAATAACCCAACACATCAAGATCATTAATAAAATATCAGATGCGCACAAGTCGTGTGCATTTTTACTAGAGTATAAGGATAAAAATTTTTGTTTTACGAGTAACAGAACATGTATATTTGAAAATTCTGACTGTGTTTTTAATTTATCACAAGCATCATTAAGAACTTTTAATATAACCGATGCTAAATCTGCATTAACAGATAACTGTTCTACAGCTTCTGTTAATATACTTTGTTCAGAGCTGCGTAATTCTATCCATGCATCTAACAAAGATGACACCAAGCAGACCTTTTGTCTACTTGACTTTAATCTAAAACAGAGATGATAAAAATTAAAATACGAAGAATATTAAAAAGAAATTATCTTACTAACATATTCTTACATTGTAACATCAGGTCCACAGACATGTCTAACTATTGAAACGCATACACCTAAAGTTCTTTTCATTAATTCAATGTCTTCTATGCCAACATAAATAAATGTATATCCCATATATTCATCGAATACCATATTTGTACCATCTTGGCATTTCATGGACGTATAGGAATTACCAAATTGAGAAGCCATGGCGTACTGCGAAGTAACAATAGGTGAAAAAAGTTGCATAATGATATTTGGACACGGTCTTGGATCCATGTCATCTGCATTCTGGACATTGAAATTATTTATTTTTATTATCGACACATTTAAATATTGATATAATTATACTATAACACAATAAGGTAAGAACAAAATGACAGACATAATATAAAAAATAAAATATTGAAAGATATATTTTAATATTAAAAGGTTTACCTTATTTTCAGTTATTAATCCTTGTGCCCTAGCTAATTTTTGTATATGAAATGCAAATTTCTTATCACATTTAGTAAATAACACGTCATTGAGATTGTCAAATATTAAAATTCCCTTCATAATAAAATGAAATCAAATTTGTTTAGGAATGTATTATTAAATGTATTCAATGCTCCTTTCACTTTTTAATAATTAGACCACTCATATGGTTTCGCGCTTTTGCAGTTTATGCAATTCTATACACTGTGTATTCTTACCTGTCAAAAAATTAACCACAGATGTCACTACATTTTCTCTTGAAAGAAAATAGAAATTCGATCGCCAGAGAGCGCAAGTCAGTTTTGTTTTAGGCGCCATTTAAAAATCTACAAAACGAGATATACCTGTTTTGAACTTGTGTAATATTATCTGTTATTTATCTACAATTCAATAAATCCTTATTTCTCAAATAACGTAATCCCATTTTCATTCGAACAGAGAAAAAAAAAAAAAAAAGATGTAACAAATATTTTTAAACAATTTTCTTCCTTGTTAAATGACAAATCCAATCTTATAGAAGAATTTCAATATAACGTTTCATATATTTCTTGATTAATAATATTAATTTAAAAGATCAATTCTCGATATAGACGACATAAAAGAAGACAATAATCGAGACATTAATAAAATTATCGGTATAGATAAAAAAAAAAGAAAATCGACATGTATCGTATTAATAAATATAAAAAAAAAAAAGATTTATGATAGAGTTTTCATTAAAACATAAATGTACTGTCCATTCGTTCCAAGAAGTTCCTCGGGGTTGGGGGGATACAAGGGAAAGGGTTCATTTGCCCCGCCCCATCCTCACCTTTGGCACCACCCACAATTTATAGAGTAGAAAATATAGAGTATGGAAATTGACTTTATTGTGTTCCTTTTTAAATATAAAAAGATAAAGAAGAAAGATATAGATAGATAGGTAGATAGATAGATAGACAGAGATAGAAAATAATAAAATAAATCATTAATTAGTAGAAATAGGTCAAGAGAACACGAGTGACCGAAAATGGTCGAAGATCGAACGAAAGAAGTTGATCTTCGTTGATTCTTCTCATAAGTATATACACACACATATATATATGTATATGTGTACTTGTAGATGTGTATTTGTGTATAATGGTATAATACATGGACCCCACCTCTTTCATGAAACTATCGTGCGCTACCTGCGTGGAGATCATCTCCGGAGTAAAAGCTGAGAACTGGACGAGCATAGGCACAGACAGCATCATGCGCTTGGTGAGTACAAAACTAATTCAAAATATCCTTTTTCTTTTTTTTTTCTCTCTCTCTCTCTCTCTTTTTCTTCTTTTTCTCGTTCTTTTTTATTATTATTAATTTCTCTATCTACGTATAACACTTTTAATGAACTTTTCCTTCTTATTTATTTTCCCTCTCGTTGAATTAACACACTTTGTGAGATCATAAGTGACAGTGAAATTAGTTTCGATTATCGGTTATACACCAAGTGACTTTTAATGAATTAGTGTTGATCATTTTGTCGAAAATTTCAAGATTATATGTGTTTATTTTTAAATAGAAACCTACACCAACCCATCCTCCCTTCCCAAAAAAACAAAAAGAAAGAAATAGAACGTTATTGTTATATGATTTCGATAAAAATTTCGTTTTTTCTTTCTCTCTCTCTATATCGATAAATATCGATATAAAGTATGCACTAATGTTTGAGTAATTTTTAATTATATTTCATTAGATGACAAAACAAAATAACAAAAAGAAAGAGAACAAAATAAATATATTATTATCTCATGTGTGATCATATCACATGCGTGATTTCTAATATTTCTTTTCTTTCTTTCTTTCTTTTTTCTTTTTTCTGCTTGTTTTTATTTAATAACGATGAGAAGCAAAAGTAGGAAAATATTAGGCATTTCTCAGTGGCAACTTTCTTCTTCCGAGTTTCCCGAGAGTATAAACTTTATATATATATAAAGTATATAAAAAGTATATATGTATATATATGTATACGTGCGAGTTTTTCTCATGCCCTTTTAATCAGAGATCGTCGACGATTATTTCTTTTTCTTTTTTAACCGGCTTGGCCGATTTGTCTTGTTCGCGTATCGACGGTTCCGCTACGTAAAGTGAAAACGTAGTAGCATCCTGTAAATATAATCGTTTGTCGCGAAATAAGCCTTTATAACCATATTATCTTTTCTTTTCTTTTCTTTTTATTTCGATCGTCAGTGGTTGTACATATTTATGGAAACAAATACTTTCATTATTTCAAAGAAAATAAAAAAGAAAGGATGAAAGTATCATTCAAATAACGAAGGAAGTACATTTTTTTTTTTCCACGATTATCATAAATCTAATTTTTTTTTTCTATGATATATAAATTATTTAAGATCTTCGGGGGGATAAGAAGAACACGTTGATGATGATGATGATGATAACAATACGTTTGTTATTTAATTTTTTGCGATTTTTTAAATTACATATTATCTGAGATTTGTCGTCAAGAAAACGAAAAGAACAATGAATTTTCTTTTTGAAATTATTTACCATAGTAGCTATCAAAAATACATTAATAATGGGATAATAATTTGTATTATTATTATTATTATTATTATTTTCACAAGGATACTTATCGTTTTCTCTCATCGATAATTTGACACACTAACACATTTATTGGCTTTCATTGTAACGGTTTAACGTTATATACGCTTTTTGTAAAATAGAGAAAATAAGATAAAATAAACATTGGAATAGATGATCCGAGTGTATAATTTAGTTTTATTATAGTTATAGTCCATATCACGATGGTGGTAATGAACTCGTTTATCATTGGAATTGGTCGTGAATTTCATGAGTAAATCACGCGAGTAGTAGTAGTAATAGTAGTAGTAGTAGTAGTAGTAATAGTAGTAGTAGTAGTAGTAGTAGTAGTAATAGTAGTAGTAGTAGTAGTAGTAGTAGTAATAGTAGTAGTAGTAGTAGTAGTAGTAGTAGGTTGCAGTTTGCTCTCGCAAGTTTCGATGGCCCACTTGTCATGTGGCACGCACGCGTGCTTTTCTAAGATCGCCTTTTTAATTATCACATTTATTATAAAATCGTTCTACCGAGCAAATTAATATAGAATTAAAGATCACGCGAGTAAAGACGAGTAAAACGAAATTCATCTCGCTTTCGTAGACAAATCATAATCTATCCTCTCTTTCTCTTTATGTATATCAATGGAATACGAAACTGAATTCATTAATATCTATAACGAGTTAACCATGAATCATAATATATGAATAACATGAATAAAGAATGGGAAAGGGGGGGGGGAATTATTTCTTTTTTTGTTGAATTTCACTCGGTTCGATTCCGTTCTTTTTCTTTCTTTTTTTTTTTCTTTTTTTTTAATCCGATTAATTATATATATTTTATACTCTTTAATTATTATCTCTCTTAATAGTATTGCATTTTATTAATTATTTTATCTTTTCATCGAGAGAATTGAAATTATTTCTAATTATTATTGAGAGATAAAATAAAATATGGATTTTGATGAAACAATTAAAATCAATCTATGCTAGTGTTATTTAATTATTATTATTCTCTAATAAGTTTATATACTATTACTGAAATATTCACTTATGTCTAAAAGCAAGAAGCAATAGATTAAAGATCAACCTGTTGAAAAAGCGATATTAGTAAGGCACGTGTTTACACGCTTACAAATATCTATGTATGTATATATATATATATATATATAGATAACCATATAATCGATCTTCTCATCTTCCTTTAAAACAGGTTTCGTTCACATTGAATTGCAGGTACCGTTGACTTTGAAGCCCGTTAGATTCAGAACAAGGACAAGTCATATTTTAATAAACGACCAATCACGTTCAATTTTCAAATTAACGTACCGAACTTTAGTACTCCATGCATCATCGTACATGTAATTCTTTTTTTTCTTTTTTTTTTTTTTCTTTTTTTCGCTCAAAGCTCTGATCTCCCATGCGTTAGCCGCATTCAGAGAGAAAGTAATTTTATAATCGGATTTATACGAGACGAGAGTCCTGAAGAATTGGGCGTGGATGAAGTCTTCGCGTGTATTTAACTGAAAGTTCAATGAACCCAAAGCAGGTGGCATCTTTTCGAACTGTCGAGAAAGAGAGAAAAAAATACTTCTTTTTCTTTTTTGACACGATGAGGATAATCCAGTCTTTGAAACAGAAGATAATCCTACAACTAAAGTCCATATTTCATTTCTATGTATCACGTATATTTACACGCACACATATACGTTAATCGATAGATTAAAACGGGAATGTGGATTATCTATATTTCATCTATACTTATAGAAAATGTTTATATATATATAAAGGGTTCTTTTTTAAATCGAGTCATTTAACTATTTAGAATAATATGTTATTTTGGAATATAAATATTTAATATAATATATATTATACATAAACTAGTTTATTTAATATATACCGTTCTTTTTTTTAGATTAATTTTGTTCTTTTTCAATATAGAACATAGACAATTCGTTATAGTAAAATTCATTAATTTTTTTTAAGATTTTTTCTTTTTATCGTATATCTAATCGTTGATAATAATTATCAGTTGAAAACGATTTTACGATTCACGCGTGTGGGACGTAAATATATATATTTGTACGTACGTATATATGTATATATGTAAAATCGTTTGGAAGTAATCACGATACTCAGAGTCAGGCATGTCGGCGGCCCGTTATTCGCCGACTTTCACTCCTCTGAGATACTCTGAGGATGATACGACGCGTAGCGGGAGCATACGTTGCGTTTAATTGCATTCGTTCCTGTCCTCTTTCCTCTCCACCCCTTTCAATCCTCCTCCCGGTTCTCTATCTACCACCTTCTTCTTCGTTTTTTACTTCTATTTCTTTCTTTTTTTCTTTTTTTCCTTCTTCGTATATTCCATCTTATCTACTATTACATTTCAGATGCACGCATGCACGTGTGTGTGTGTCTGCAGAGAGACATATTTTTTGTTTCTCACTCTCATGGTGCATTATTCAACGCCAAGGACTCGTTGTATAATCGAGCTGCTTGTTTGACATATTTGGCGACGTTGTTTCTTTCATTCCCGCTTTCACGTATCATTTACGTTTCCGCATTTCTTCGAAGGACTCCTCCTCGAAATGAAAATCAATCCGAGAGTCTAATTGAGTGCATCGATTTAAAATGCATTATTGCATCTGCTTGTTTTTGTAGGAAAACAAAAAAAGAAGAGGAGGAAAGAATATTTTTGATATTAATTGGAAAGAAAGTATTTTGCTAAACAAAAGGTTAATAATTTATTAATTATTATTAATCTTTGATTTTTCTTTTACATATTATTAGATATTTGAATAAATATCTTTTATTGATTTTGTTTTTTAAGCATAAATAACAATTTAGATTTTGCGTTTTCGCATATATCTTCGAAGTATTAATATAGAAATGTTTCGAATTCGAATGTATTTTCGATTGAAAAGAAAACAAGAAGAAGAAGAAAGAACGATCAAAATCTGATAATACTAATCATTATCATCATTATCGCAAATCCTTGTTATATTTTTTGTTTAAATTTCTTTTTTTACTTTTTCGTTATGTTTGAAAAAAAAAAAAAGTAATATATTACATCGAATCGATTATACTCGATTGATTTTCCTTTCACGCGTCATTGGCCGTTTCCGCATTTCTTCCAAGGACTCGTTCGAAATTTTAACGAATACCCATCACTACCGTGGAGATTAACTCGAATATATATTTTATTCAAGTATAGCAGTTGAAAAGAAAGTTAATCGAATGAAATAGAGAAGGAATTGGTCAAGGTCTATTAACTATAATAAATAGATGCAAATTTTGTAATAATTTTTTCTTTTTGGTCATTTCGTTTCGTTTTGTTTCTAATTGTAAAATGTTACGTCAATTCGTGGAATGAGATACATATTATTACAAAGGATAAATTTGTAAAAAAAAAATTCAAGTTCTATCATATTTAATCGATTTAAGAATTCTAGTTTAGTTTAAGGAGAAGCAAGTTCAAGTGAGTAGAAATACTCGACATTCATGCGAGTGAAAGTGTTGCTGCTGCTTCTTTTCTCCATATTGAAGGTTCCTCTTCACCATCTTCGTATTCTTATTAATATTTATCTTCTTATTTATTTTCTTTTCTTTTCATTTCATTTTTCGTTCTCATAACTTTTCTTTTACTTTTGTTTCTTTAGATAATATCTTACAACATTCCATCCTTTCGATATCGAAACGCCACATATAAATTAGTCCATCATTTCTTTCTTATTAATTATAGAGACGACATCTCAACGGAATCATTTTTCTTAAATATCTAAACGTTAAATTCTTTTCAAACGTCAAACCACTTCGAAACGTCTTCTAATACATACCATATATATACTTCGTGTAGAATAATTTAGAAAGTTTTTTCTTCTTTCTTTTTTTTTTTTTTTTTTTTTTTTTTTTTTTTTTTTTTTTTTTTTTTTTTTTTTTTTTTTTTTTTTTTTTTTTTTTTTTTTTTTTATTATATTTCGAATATTAGAGACGATTAGAGAATTTTATTTGAATAAAATTAATGAGATTGTTGCGTGATTTAATAATTAATAGAAATTTCTTATAGAGATTTCTATAGATTATCTATTGTGTGTGTCGTTAAAAAATTAACATATAAATGATGTAATTTATCTTGTCAAAAAAATGAACAGATTTCGTATAATCCTATATATATAATCGTGTTTTTCATAAATCAATAATAATCCGAAATATTTCAAATGATTTCAAATAAATATGATATATCTTGTATGTATGACAAAAATAAATAATAATAGTAAAGATTGAAAAGATGTTAGAAAGTAGATATCGTTAGAAAGCAAATAAATCGATATTTGATTGTAATCTAATGAATGAATAAAGAGAAGATAGAAAAATTACCAATATTAGGTGAATTAGATGATAGAAGAAACCCAGTAGGCCCAAGAGTTCTTCAAACACGAGATAAATTATTTGTTAGGTCATTGATCCCAACAGCTCTAACAGTTTAATTGCATCGAAAAGATCGTTCGTTAACGAACCTCTACTGTTTCTATGTTGGTTGTTGGTTGTTGTTGTTCTTAGAACAAGGCATAGATATACATACCTATACCTGACGCAATCTGACTATTATCTTAGAAAAGAAGAACTCTTTACGATGCCGTTCGAGCAAATCCGGCAAAATTGAGTTCATCGACTTCCGGAAGTGCATTATGTCTTTGTCGAATGTTCGTGCCCCCTCCTCCTCCTCCACCCCTCATTCTCGATCCTTCTCGAGATAAATATCGCGTGAGGATATTACAAATTGATGTTTCCCCATCTAAAATGGAATCTTCTACGATTTAGGTAATCTCGTCTTATGTAAAAGTGAGTATATTCTTTTTTTTTTAAGTTTCCGTTCCTCCTATCGAAAATAACGAGCGGCGTGGATAGATACTACGACAATGTTAAATTTTTATTACCGAACACTAGAGACGATGAAATTTCTAGATTTTATAATAGTTTTGTTTTTCTTTCTTTTCTTTTTTTTTGTTTTTAAGTTGTACGATACAGAGAGAGAGAGAGAAAAATTACTTCGAATGAATTTCTTTTTTTCTCTTTTCTTTTTTCTTTTTCTTCTTTCTACTTTTTTGAAAACATCCTAACCAATGGGAGAATCATCGTTCTCTGTGTTACGAAGAGAAATCACGAAGAGAACCGACTAGATTGAAAATTTATGCATACGTTATTTCTATACTTAAAAATATGTGTTATTTTATATATATTGTCGAGTTAAAAAAGAAAAAAGAAAATATCTAGATATTTTGTGCGAGATAGGTTATGGTGTGTAGTTAATTAATTAAACATTTCGCAAATGACATCTCGACATTATGAATTCTATCGGCCGAAATACAGGAAGAAGACAATTTGCATGAAGATAATTTGTAAGCCTGGAACACGTGTCGCGGGGTCTGGTTTTCTTCGCTAAGATTCTCGAAAGTGAAACTCATTGCCGAAAGTGCACACGGTGGACATGAAAAAGAAAGAAAGAAAGAAAGAAAGAAAGAGAGAAAGAGAGAGAAAAGCGTCACACCTGCGCTAACCTTCCCTCCCTTCGGCCCCCCTTCCGCCCCTTTTCTCTCTCTCTCTCTCTCTCTCTCTTTCTTTCCTACTCTCGTGTATGCTTCATCGAAATTAATGGACACTGGACCAATCGAGATGAAGATACTTGTAAAATTATTTGGTCGTTTAGAAAGTTCTCAATGATGTATTTGTACTCATTCAATGTTTCAAACAACCGACTTTGATTTTTCTTCTTTTTTTTTTCTTGACCAATTCAATTTACAATAGGAAAGTCACACATAGGTTGTTCTTTTTTTTTTATTTATTTTAATTTCAATAACATGTGTGTGTGTGTGTGCATAAATATTTATAAATATATATAATATTATAATTTTGAACGAAATATATTTATTTATTTAATAATAATAATAATAATAATAAAATAATTTACAAAAGACTTGTGTATAAAAGTTATAGTAAATTATTTGTCGGTTCGCTTTTATTTCTTAATATTTCTTAACAATTAGTTTATGTCGTAAAAACAATTAAATTTGTCCGTTTTCGACATATGTAATTCCCACAATAATTCATAACCATTTACGGTCACATACGTTCTGTGTACACACCATACGTAAATGCTTTCACGCTTATTAGCAATAAGAGAAACGAGAGAGAAGTTCGTTAATTTTCAAGTTATGTATCTATATGCACGAATACACAAACTTCACGAATTTCTTCGGCACGTTTCATCCACGTATGTACACACGTGTGCATGTATCATGTTGAAAAGTATTTGCTTTTGTTTACGCGAGGTAGGATACGGGTGTGGTGCATATTCGCATTTATGGCTTGCTTGCTTGCTTTCTTTGTAAATGTCAGCGGATATTTTCTTCTACCGTAGTTGCGTTGAGAATAATATGGCTTATACCTGTTATTCGTTGAAATAACAATAACGATCCTGTCAACTTCTTTTTCTTTTTTTTTTTCTCCACGGAATTGTACAGTTATACAATATGCGAAAAATATTCTGACATTTATTCTTATTATTATAAATGTCGTATTAAAAGAATTCAATATTATAAAAAATTTTTATATATATATAAACAAAAGTAAGTTACTTTGATCGAAGAAAAAAAGAAATTGTTTCTAAGCTAGATTATAAAAATTTTTCAACTCACATATATTTGTGTGTGTGTGTGAACTTTTCTGTAATAAAAATCATCGAATTTAAATTATATAAATAAGGATAATACTCGAGTTAAATGGAGAAAATAATAATGAATGCTTACAGTAAGAATATTTTTTACGCTAACTGTACGTAGTTATTTCGCGTTTTGAAAAAGGGTTATCATTTTCTACGAACAAAAATATTGAGAATAAAAAGTATACGTAAACATATTGAAATATATACATATTCATCCTCGTAGGATATCTAATTACTATAATATAGTAAATTATGATAATTGATCGCGTGCTAAAGTTAATATCACGAACTAAAGATCAAATCAATTTTATTAAATTTTATGAATAAACGCGCGCGCGTGTTTTTTTTTGTTAAATACATTTCACAAATGGCAGACATTTAATTGCAAATAATTAGAAATTAACCGATAACAGGAGAACGTTAATGTAATCACAGAAAATGAAATATTAAACGAGAGTATTTCCTTTTATTTTTTTTTTTTTTTAATTTGTTCTTATTAATAATTATCTCGATTATTATAGTTGATCGTACGTATAATGGAGATCTAATTATATGGCGGTTAGGGGAAATGATTATACCGAAGGATAGGGAAATAAGTATCTTTATCGTGACGATTATAACACCGCGAAAATTATCCTATAAATTGTTGCTAATAATCGACGAAGTCTTCAAATGGTAACGATTGCTCTATTATATTATTGAAAAGAAATTCTTTTTCTTTTTTTTTCTTCTCCCCTTCAATTTTTTTCCTTTACCTCGAAAAATATGTTCATACGGATTATCATCAACCGAAAACCACGAAGTGTTTATTCGCGAAGAGATTTAAATTATATTAATTCTTACGTTGATCATCCGGGTCTCCGTTAACTGATTTCACGATATAATTTCACTTCTCAGGATGAAAGTTCTCGTCGTGTTTCAGTAAGTTGATTTTTTTTTTTTTTCTTTTTTATAGAAACGTGCGAAATTCACCTACAAGACGGTGGGAGAACCGAATCCTTACTGAGAACAATTTTGTAAAATAGACGTTTTATCGTGTGTAAAGTATAAGATTTTATTTGAAATCAACAAATTTTAATAATGTTGAAAAACATGTGACTACGAGAAAGTATAAACTTTGACTAATATGTATTATTTCTATTTTTATATATATATATTTACGTATATTTATATTAATTATGTTTGAATAATTAACAAAGAAAACGTGCATCAATAATATTTTATTTATGCGTGTTTCTCTTTATCTCGAGCCTACTTCGTTCACGTTCCAACGTAGAAATCTTTAACGTCGATGATGCTTTTTTTTTTCTCTTATCTCATTTCAGTCCTTTTACGATTGAAATGAATACCATTTTATAGTATTTGATTAGGTATTAATTCGAGAAAGATAGGTAAGATGCGTGCGTAAGATTTTCACTCGTTTGGTGGGTTATACGACAAACTTGTCATGCCTAACACGTACACACCTATTGCGTAATCATGTAAAATGCGTTGTTCACGCGTTTAAAAGGAAAGTCAGGGTGTTTTAATGTGGTTTTTAGGAAGAGAAAATTGCCTTAGGTTACTTACAAATCATACTAATGTAATCAAAGAAAAACTACAACGCGAAAAGACATTAATAATAATAATAATAATAATAATAACCATAACGATGTTGCAGATAGCAATTGTGATCGTTGGCTTAGCAGTGGTGTCGGTTGATCATCGATCGACAGCCGAGGATGTTGCAGATTTATCCGAAAGTAATTTGGACGTTCCAGCAGCGGCAATGAAATTGGATAAAAATTTACGTCGAGCATTGTTAAAGGCTTTAACGGATTTGGAAGCGGAATCGGTTGAACAAAGGAAGAACAACGACGAACCTATCGCACAAGCCTACACGTCTAATCAATTCCAGGACATTTCGAAAAAGGATTTAAATAAAAAAATCGGCATCGTTCAAAAATCAAGTTTTTCCTTCGATGGTTTTCCCGGAGATGAAGAAATACCCAGCGAGGATAAGCTTCAAAATTCAAGCTTCGTTCAAACGGATAAATACGTAATCATGTCTAGTTCACCTTCGATGACTATCGAGAAAGCTACTAGAAACGATGCTAGAAGTTTCCACGTTCAGAATATTATTATGTCTGATAAGAATCAAGCATTAAAGGTTGGCCCTAAGATGGAACAATTAGAAACGAAGAAATCTAACGGTGAATCTTATGTTTCTTACGTTAACAAAGTAGATAGTATAACTTTAAAACCATTGACTGAATTAACAGAAGGTCTTACTGGTGTTGCTAGCAACGGTATCGCATTAGCTAATTCATTACCTTTACCAAAACCAACGGCATCTAGTCCTACGGATTCTCCTAAAATAAATGACACTTTAATGAATGGTAGTAAAGTAATAGAGAAATCTGAAGAGGTTAAAATATTCCAAGCACCGTTGGTGGCAGCGTTTACCGTTCAACAAGATGAAAGTGGTGCACCTAAAAGCGTTGTACCTATCTTTAAACCAACGGGAGATGGGCAGGCATTGACTTTGCAAGAACAGTTGGAATTTAAGCAAAGGCTTTTAGAAAAACAGTTGGAAGAATTGCAACAACAGCAGCTTCAACAAACCCAGTTTCTTATCAGGCAACGTCATCTTTACGAACAACAACTTAGGCAAAAGCAACAACAACAGTATTATCTTCAGGAACAAGCGAGAATCAAGCAGATCGAGGAACAAGCGAAATTAAAGCAATTGGAAGAACAGAGATTGAAACAATTCGAGGAACAACGATTGAAACAGTTCGAGGACTCACGGATCTTACGGTTTCAACAACAACCTGTACTATTACAACAACAACCTGTACCATTACAACAACAAAAGTATCGTTTCTTTGAACAGGCTACAAATCTCTTAAATATTCCAACACCGGCAGAATCCAACGTTCGTTTACAACCCAGTGTCTCGTTAGAAGTACCAAATATTATCGTTCCACCTCCTTTCAATTTCCAAGACCAACTAAGATTTCAACAACATCGTCAACAACAACCACAACAACAACAACAGCAGCAGCAGCAACAACAGCAACAACAACAAAGATTACACCAGAGCTTTGGACCCGTAACAGATTTTCAACAACCACCCGTGGCAGCATCAACGAGATTTAACAGGCAAGAAGCTTTCAACTCCGTGGGTAATTTTGGCTTTAATGAGAAACCATTAGCGACTAGGAATACTTTTACTTTTGGCGTACCTCAAAGAAATCCAATTAATTTCGTCTATAATCCTTACACTCACAATCAATATAGACAAACAAGACCACAGCAAACACCAGCAAAACAAATCCAACATCTTCTTTATCAATCAGGTATCGCTGGTGAATTAGGTAATGCTGAAGGTTCTGGTGGTCAAGAAGATTTAAACATCGTTTCTAAAGTTCTAGCATTAAACGTGGGTGCCATACCCAATAAAAATCTTCATTTTACTACGAATAACCGTGTTAATAACGGATTTGTCGCCAAAGTTCCCGCTAATGCGTGAAATATAAGATTATAACGAAGAAAGATCCAGACGAGTCATGTAAATTACTACAAGACGATATTAATTATGTCGAGCTCTCTGTCACTATCATATTAATTTCTTTTATTTCTTTATCTTTTCATTACACACATTCTTCCGTATAGATATATATATTTCAACAATACACAACACAAATTTGTTATAATATAAGTGACGCTAAAAACGATCTTTCGTCAGCTCAGGTTGTTGTTCGTTATTTTTCACAAGTGAACATTATCCCATAACGAACATAATCGTATTTAATTAAATTACGATTGCGAATATCGGAAAAGAAATAGTAATGAGTTATGCAAAACGTGTGTTAAGCTATAATATTTCACGCTACATTGCAACACAACAAATTTTGTAAATAAGTTGTTTCTTACTTATACATTTGCATACACGCATATCTAATTCTTGTTTTATTTTATCTTTCTTTTCTATTAAATGGAAGAACACAAAAAAACAAAATAAGGATACAAATAAAGCAAACAAAAAATGAACGAAAAGAGATACGTAAGAAAATGATTCCAATGTGAAGAGTAACGTTTATTCAATCGTATCAAAGTTTTGTTTTTTAAATCGATAAAGCAAAAGATATATCACTTTTTTTTAGCCTCGATTTAACTAGGCAAGCTCATATATTATAGTTCGAAGTAATAGGTCATCGAGATAAGAAATAACGTGCTCTTCTTCTTCTTTTTCTTTTCCTTTTTTTATTGTTTTTTTTTTTTTTTTTTCAAGGATTAAAAGGTTCCACGAAATCGTGCATCGCGTTGCGTTCGATATTGAAAATCGCTTCTCCAACTGTAAATAAACTTTCCCCGACAAAGATATACGTCGCACAATACCGGCAAGGAAGAGCATGGATATATAAGAGAAGAGATACTTTAGCGAGTGCGCGCGCGCGCACGCTCGCAACCGAGGAACGTGTATATACGCTCATGTCCTCAATTTCACAAACGTATGGCATAGATTCGTGATTTCTCTCTGCGAGCTAATCGGCGAATTCTCATTGAAGAATCATCCTCGGATAATATCTTTTTTTTTGAGGACATCATTTTTCTTTTCATATTTGCTAATATATGAAATTTCTTTTTAATCGAAGTAAAAATATTTTTCGTTTGAATTTCTCAAGTTTGTTTAAATTTGACTTCTTAAAATACTCGCGTATGACGTTAGATAATATATAGTTAATAATAGTAATGATATATTAATGTAATGTAATAATAATAATAATAATAATAATAATAATAATAATAATAATAATAATAAAAATTATTATAATAATAGATATAATTGACGATTATCGCTTATAATTTATCTGACGCCAATTTGTACGAGTTATTGTAAGAATGTTAATAAACTAATTCGTTTCACAAAAGTATCTATAAGATGTATTGATATTTAGCATGCTAAATTTTATTTAATTATCAAAAAAGTATTATATACAAACGGGTGGTACAACTGGGAGAGATCTGATTATAATATAAAAAATAAATCGAAAGAAAGGAATATGATTTCGTTTTTGAGAATATCGTGTTTGAAAATTTATAATTTGAATATCTTTTACTATGATCAGATTTATGATAATCATTTAAGAAATTGTATTCAATTAACCTCTGCTCTGTTTTCTGTATCAATCTGTATGTGTAAAAAGTCAGTAATAATTATTATAAAAATTAAAGTACATGATTTCAATATAGAACAATCAACTCGAATAGTTATACCCCGCAGTCATTTAAATTTAAATCGATAGTATTCGATACCACGTTTCGATACTCGCCGAAAGTGACATCTAACGTAGCGCCAAGTAACAAACATGTCCGAAGACAAAGTAGGCTCGTTAGTGGAAGAAGCTTTAAAACGAAAAGAACGCTTGCAAGCGCTTAAAAAAAAGAATGAGGAAGGCAAAGATACTAAAGCTGATTCTCCCAGCAAATTACCAATGTGAGTTATTACATTTTATTCTTACTTGCGCGAATTTTCCTAACCTAACCTCACTTTTACTTTCGTTTACATACATGTGTTGTTCTTAGGCCAAAATTTCGAAGTTACAAACCACAAGATGAAAGTCTCAAAGAAAAAGTATTGGAAAATGCAAAACCAGGCGATGTGGAATCCGAAGTTCAAGATCAGTTGAGTGCTGCGAAATCTAAAGTTGTTATCGAAGAACTTGTAAGTAATTTATTGCTATACATTTGTTATTATTCGCTTATCGCCGGTAACAAATTATATAAAAATATGATCAACTAATTATTTACTAGCTTAAAACAAATTAAATATATATGCGATATATATGTATATATATATAAAATTATTATCGAAGAAATTGTAAAAGGTTCTCTCATTGCTATAATCTTATTATTATTCACTTATTTTTGATCGACTAACTATTTTCTAGCTTAAAACAAAGTATAGATATATGTTACAGTATTATGCATAAGAATAATATATACTTCAAGACGATTACTTTTATATATATTTAACGTTATATAACAGTTACATTTCATTGTTCGGCAGGATATAAGTAATTTGGCTCCACGTAAGCCAGATTGGGATTTAAAGAGAGATGTTTCTAAGAAATTAGAAAAATTAGAAAGGAGAACTCAAAAAGCAATTGCTGAATTAATCAGAGAACGCCTTAAACAAGGTCAACACGATTTAGCCTCAATTGTAAATATGGTAGGAAAAGATGATGATGACAATAAAACTTGACAGTGAAATATATAATTTATTTTCTCTTTATACTGTATCAAAGAAATTATTCCACGAACGATCAAATGGTAAACTGTTAATGTGTTCTTTATCTTAATACAGTTTTCACACATATGAAAGTTACTAGTTAATTATATACTTTAAGTATTATTCAATCTTAAGGATATTTATTAAAGTTATAAAAAGTTAGGATATGATGAATACATGATGAAGTAAAAAAGAAATATAATTGTTTAAGATTAACTTAGTGTTTTTTACTTTACTGTTTTTTAATTTATTACATAAATACTTACATCTACAGTATTATCATTGTATTTAAATTATGAAGAGATGTAGTGCTATGAATTCAGAATTGTAATTTGTTTTTTGTAAATGAAATTGTTATCAAATATAGATGCTGGGTACAAGAAAAGATGAAAATATAAAAGCATACAGATTATTCATAATTGATAGATATTTAAATGACGCTATAAACAAAAAATATGTTGTCAGAATAATAAAAACGTATGTATTATGAATCACACGTTGCATTTAAATGATAACAAAATATTTATCGCGCATAAAATAATTTATGTATACACAATCGTAAGTTTATAAAATAATCTTCTCTGTAAAACCGTAGAAGTGCGATTATTATACGCTTGACTAGAATACGTATTTTTTCGTCTTCAAATAGTTATTAGAAGCATTGAGACGAAAAAGATAATCAACATAGTTACTTTATTATGAATAGAAAGTTGACCGTTCTGTGAATTATCTTTATTTTCTAAAATGTTATGATAAACCAGTCGATCGAACAATGGTTGTACCGGCCGAAAATTATGTGTTAATTTTTTTCCCTCGGATGTACGAAGATTACGAAATGCAGCCAACTGAAATTATAATTATGTAATATTGTCAAGACGATATATTCCTTCCTTAAAGAAAAAAAATATCTATAAAGAAATCAATATACCTGTTCGTGGGATAACAATTGAGGATCTTTAAAATCGATCCACGTAACTACTTCAAAACAAGGTGGAGTAGTCAAGGAGCCATTATACGTAAAATAGTTAGCTATAGTAGAATTATTCGGTTGCAATAGGTGTTCTAACAGCAGTGGCTCTTCGAGTTCATGTTTGCTATTAACCATCTCCACATCTGATAATGCTTCAACTATAGCATTGTAAGTTGGATTCTCTTTATCGTCTGCCTATATAAAAAAAATTATAAAATCAATTATATTTCGGTCAGTTCAATGACATAATCCATTGGCACATACATACAATTGAAATACTTAAAGCAAAGCATTCTTACCTCGTAGAAATATGCAAAAACAGCAAGTCCGTCCGAATGGTTGACCGCAGCAGCCATCGAATTGTATTCCTGCTTATAGAAGACAGCATGGAGTTCCATAGCAAACGTATGATTATTGATGTAATCTTCCGATCCTTTCAAATCGTTCTCACCCCAATGAAAATGAAGTTGTTCGAAAACGTAAGTGTTCTTACCAAGAGGACCACCGGAAACCAGAGCTGAGTCTGATTTGTTGTTAGTCTGGATCATCACTGATTGAGTAAGATCAGATTATTATTTTATTGCGCAAGTTGATATATTCTTCCACATATTGTAGATTAAAAATAGGAATTTCCGTGATTACAAATATATATATATATATATATATATATATGTATATGTATATTACGTGCAACGCGATACAATCGTTTTCGAAGAGAATCTTTTATCATAGGAAAATGAAATCTCAATAATAAAGTAAACGAATAATAAGATTAATAATAATATTCCAATATCTATTTTTTGTTAAGTTGAGTTAATCGATGTCGTAAATGATGAATTAATTCATGTCTAATATGTGGTCACATTATCTTTTCACTAAATGTAGGTCATTTAATATATAATTTAATTTAAACTAAAAAAAACTTTGATATCACGTCGAAATAATCACGAAATATCTTTTACGCTATTTTTATTTCTTTATATTCTTTTTTTTATTTTATTCATAAAGAGTAAGTTCTTTAATTCGCGTTATTTTCTTACTAACACTGATAAGATATATTTTATTTTTATGTGAACGAAATATATATATGTGATCAAATAATTTTAAATAGATTCTTAAATAACTCACCGGTATGTCCATTGTTTGTTATGAAAGAAGTACGAGGAACGTTCAATCTTTGAAAAACCAATGGAGGGAAGATGATATTTTGTACATTGTGTTCATCTATGTTAATGGGTGATTGATGTTTCCCAACGCAGGACTGATAATCATCGGCCCAATGCGACGGGCCTGAAGTAAAAAAAAAAAAAAAAAAAGAAAAGAAATGTAATATAAACGAATTCACTATCCAATCAACAACTTTCAATTATTCTAAAAGTATACAATATATCTTCCAAATAAAAGTAAAGAAATAATAAATGAAGTAAGGAGAGAAAATAGATAAAAGAATACTATGTACCGTGAATTCCGTCGTAACTAAAGTCTTGAGCTCCATAAGAGAATTCTGAAAGTGAAACGAATGTTTTAGTTAGAAAACGATGATTTGTTAGAAATACGGAGTATATATTTACATGAAGAGGAGGAGGAGGAAGAGGAGGGAAGGGAGATATAACACAGCCTTTCGCTGCTACGTTACACATATAGAAGATCAAAAGAAAGTATAAGAGAAAAAAGAAATATTCTCGGTCGAAAGCACTAACAACACAACCAACTCGTTCACTTTTGTATAAAGCACCAAGGTTTTCTTTAAAACTGTTATACATTCAACAAAAAACGGATAGCTCTGGGTCATTGTATTCTCACGATCGGTGAAGCGTGCAAACGAGTCAAGTATATTGTAGTACCGATGCCTGCCTGCTTGCCCCCCTGCTTATCCATGGTGAAAACTTATCGTCGTGAATCATAAATGATCGTCTAATATCAATGATTTTTCTTAGATCCTTGAAATTGTGGAGAAAATTATAACGTGGATGTAAATACATCCGTGTCCGTAATAATCAAATAGTTTCAAATCGATTTTCTCAATCTCGATAGAGAAATATTTCTCTCGATCGTTTGAATTTCGTATGCATTACTATTCAATGAAATTGCTTTCTAACAGTTGGAAACAGATTTTTTATTTTATTCTTATTGTATACCAATTTAATCTTCATAATTGATCATTTAATTTTTCAATTCGTGAGATTCGTAAATTAAGATTTACAAGATTTATAACAGATTTATCAAAAATGTTATAGGAAAATTTTCTATATTAAATGGATTAACTATGTTAATGCATGAAATATTAATAATAATAATAATAATAATAATAATGAAATAATAATGATGAAAATTTATGGAGGAAAGCCTTGAAAGAAACTTCTCAACAATTAAGCAAACAATGAGAAGATCACGAATTAATGTATCCAATTAATTAACGTTAATAGTTTTTTCTGTCTAAAGATATCTCCCGAAGAATGGATGATAGCATTTTATCGTAGGTTTAGGGGTTTCTTGTATATAATACACGTGTACGACATGTGGGCGAGAAGAAATTCGATTATAGCAATTGTTAGTCAGAGTTACAAAAAAATAATCCTTGGTAGAAGAAGAAATCATCGGATCAAATGTTAATTCATGCTCGTTAGATCTAAAAGTAGATTTAAAGTATAAGATTTCGAAGATTAGAAGAAATTTCAGTCACGTAATAGTCGTTCACATTTACGTTTACGTTATTTGCAATTTTGATTTTTCAATTATTAGAACTCCTTCGTTCTTCTAAGATTTAGTATGCCAAGGACATACTCCGGATATCCTTCCATTATATAAAAAATAAAAGAAAAAAGAACACACAAGTGCATCACCGTTTATTTTATAACGTATTAATAATCTTTGATAATAATTTAATATATTTAATGGATCTATAATAGTTCCGAAGAGGACGATCAAATATCGTTAAATAAACGATGAATCTTTAACCGATCGATGTCGTAAGACCCTGAAATATTACTCTTTCCCTTTTCTACAATCTCACGTTCGTGACATTGTGATGCATCTGAAAAATGCATGATCGTAGCTCGTACATATATATACGCAAACTTTTGCAAACTAACTTTTATATTATTTTCTTATATCATAAAAATAAACTAAATGTTATTCTGCGTAACGATAAAAAAAATTGGGTTAGTAGTTTGTGCAATGAAAACGTGTCCATTTGTTTAAATCATTTACTCAATACAATAGAAGTAAATGTTCTTTGTAGCAATTCTATACGTCTATGAACGTACGAGAAAAATAAAGAGAATATATGAATTTTGAAGTACACATATATTATACGCATTACATGTAATTGCGCAACTAAAGATTATACGTAAAAAAAAAACAAGAAACAAAAAGTGCATGAGTCGCTAAAAAGTTGTCATTTTCAATATTTCGCGCGTAATTCAAGCGTTAATTGAATATTAAAATCGAACATTGTGATCGTTAAGATCTTATCATTCTAATGACATAACTTTCGACATCTACATATAATAAATACTTGCACGCAAATATACTTATAACACACGTGTTTTATATTATATTCTATGCACGCGTCGTCGTTGTCGTCGTCGTCGTCGTCTTCGTTACGGTACGTAGAAAGTGCAACGAGACTTAATCCTTTCTTTTTTCGTTGCACCTTTCAACGCCGGTTTTCGCGCGCGAACTCTCCTTGAAAGTTAATTTATACTAATTTCTATGGTAAAAAGAAAGATGCGATTTCGATGCTAATGCAATTTAGGCTAATGCAATTCTTTTTAATTTATTTATTTAATTTTTCTTTTTTTCCTTTTTTTTTGTTTTCGTTTAACAATACTTATGTCAAGTTGATTATATTTTATCAACACGCCGTAGTTTGTTATTTCGTTAAATAGTCTGCTAAATAACTAAAGGAAAAGATTGTTACTTCGATTATCCGCGACAATTAAAAATATTATATCTCATCGACAATGACGACGTTCTATACGAATTCGTAAAAACGTACGTAATATCATCGAAGAAGCTCCAATTTCATGTTTAGTCCGATTAGGAACAAGATACAGGATGTACGGTGTCCGATAACAGAGTTTTGCGAAAGAAATTAGTATCTTATTATTTTCAATTTCAAGGTTTATTACAGAGAAAAGTGATCTAATTATATATTTTTAATCTTCGAGCTTATTTATTTATTTATTATATATATATATAAATTTAATTCCAGTCTCTCTATACGTACGTTTTATGCGTCTATGTTGTGTCGTTACGTTTTCTTATCTTCCTGTTTAAAAAACGCATTTTTAATTTCAAACGTATATTTAAAATAAATGCATAAAATTAGATTTTAAATCTATGCATTTGTTTGTTTTCTTTTTTTTTTTTCTCTCTTTTCTTTTTATTTTATCTAATTTTGTATTACTATAAATTAAATTCAAATCGATACGTATATCACGCGTGTACGTTTATTACCCATCTTCTTTTTTTTTTTTTTTTTAATTATATTCAAATGATTATTATGATATTCGAGATAATGACATCACCGTTCTATTTTCTCCTAAAGCGTCGTAATATCTATGGTTAATTTTTCTTTTTCCTTTTTTCCTCTTTGTGAGTCAAACATTTGTAATCCCTTATCATTATTTATTATAATAATCGTTCGAGTGTCATTCGATGAAAAAAAAAAATCTTCATCATATATCGTCGTATCAGTACGGAAAAATACATCGATGGGAATTCATTCGTTTGTTTAATTGATAGGAAAAATCATTCGAGTTTCTTGCAATTATGAGGTTTCACCGATTTACTTGTAGAATCATCGTCGGTATTCTAATTTTTATTAACACGTTTCTGTTTCAAAGTTTACAAAGGAGTATACTTTCGTATTACCGTACAATGATGAAATTAACGTTCCTTCGCGTACCATACAAATACGTTCACGTATTAGAACGACCAACGGTTCTTCATAATTATATATCTTTGTATTAAATCGTGTCAAAGGAAGAAACATTAAATTTAATATGTTTTAACTTTGATTACTATTATTAATAATTATATACAACCAAATTGAATATATAAAATATAATATAATATCATCAAGAAAATTATTCTCTGTGTAATTATTTATATATATATATATATTAGTATTAGGTCATATTAAGATAAAACTAAAATTGAATATTTTTAATATCAATTTATTATTATTAATTGTAAAAAACAATTCTAATGTATAATATAATATTATTAACGAACAGTGTTTGGAATAATTATATTTTTTTATTAAGAGCGATATATTGAAGAAGAATTAAAATATAATAATTATAAAAAGAAATGAGAAAAGAAAAAAGAAACAATTGTACCCCCAAAAAGAAAAAGAAAAGGAGTGTCACGAAATGTAAGATAGGTGATAAAGATCTGACGCAAGCTCTTCTAATGAGAAATAAAAATGTCGCGTCATATGGCAATTAATCAGAACGTAGATGGATGTTGAACGATTAATTAAGTATTTCCTATTTTATTTTCTAACTCTCGGGAAGATACGAATAAAATCTTACACATGGGTGCCTTTTAAGTATCATCGATGACTAGTAAACGTTTATCAGTTTATTATTCATACGGAAGCAAGTGAGCAGATACTTTTGTAAATGTACGTGATTAATGTAAAAGAATGTGATATTTAATTAAAATTCCAATTATTCTTAGATCGTGGAAAAATAAAAAAAAAAAAAGAGAACAAAGGTTCAAATCATTTATTTTGACCGATCAAAATTAAATTTAAAACGTCGAGGTTAATACCACAAAGGTACATAAAAAGGTACGAAGAAGGTATTAAACGAAAAATTCATCGAATTAATTGGCACGATCACATCGATTCTTATATAATCCGATCGAATACTTATCTATTATTATCTTATAATATGTATTTCACGTCGATAGATTCGATAAAAGTTAAACGCACTGTTTGATATATAATTTAGATTTATCTCTTAAGTTTGTTTCTTTTTTTTTTTTTCTTTTTCATATCTTTGATCGATAAATAAAATCTTAACGAACATTTACGATTAAATCTTTCGATTTTCTTGGATAAACGAAGGATAAAAAGGATAATAATCCATATGAAAGTAAGAGAGAGAGAGAGAGAGAGAGAGAGAGAAAGAGAGGATTAGAATACTCACTATTTAAAAAAAAAAGTCCAATAGGTATCGTCCAAAGGATCATCATGATGTTTCGCAAGAAAATTTCTTAGATTGACACACCATCGAATAAAAATTTATTTTAATTGATCACTAGACGAATATTTATATATATATATATATATATATATTTTTCTAATACCTCTCCGACTACTTTCTCTTTATGAAAGATTGAACAAAAATATTGGAGAACAAAAGGGATATATATAATAACGTGATAGAAAGAGAATGAGAATAAGTCTAATATACGGTCGACAGTCGACTGAACACTGGCCGGCTCTTCGACCATGTTAAATAAGACTTCTACCACTTCTAGTTCACGTTGTGGCGCGTCTGAAAGAGGTTGTTCAACGATGACGATGACGATGACGACGACGACGACGACGACAATGATGACGATGACGAGAACAAAGAAGTAGAAGAAGAAAAAGGGGAGAAAGAAGAAGAAGCAGAAAAAGACCCTAAAGAATCAACGTTACAATAAAATCGTACAATTTTCAAACGATTTCAATCAAACGGCAAAGATTCTTGCTTTTATTTCGAGGTCAAACTCCTCTCTTCTCTACCTGAATTCATAAAATTCGTATTATCATTTTCTAACGTATACTTTGCATTTTATCGTGTTCGTATATAAGTCGATAATAAACCTTCTTACCGAACTGTTCGTACTCATTTAGCATACTTGTTTCCGTTGGGCCCTAACGTCACATTCGAACGCAAATATTCTTCGAGAGTTTAGAACTGGTTTTTGTCTTTACTTTTTTCTCTTTTTTTCTTTTTTTTTCCCTTCTTTTTCTTTCTTTCTTTCTTTCTTGCTTTCTTGCTTCCTTTCTTTCAAGGACATCATCCTCGGTTTCATTCGTAAGATTGCGAAGGAGGGAACATTGCACTCGAAGAAAGACAAAGTTCAGTTTATTCTCTGGTCGTATTATTTGGGATAGAAATTTTTTAAATATGCCGCTCGATTCAATCACGTGATTGATTTTCAATTGATTAACCGTATAACTTGTTAGCTTTAAGTAAATACGTCGTACGAATATATCCTGATAATAATTTATTTATATATATATGTAGATTTTGAAAGACTGATATATATGATTTTGAAAAAGATTCTTTGTAGCAACAAATATATATCGAAGTGAACGAATTATATTTCTTTTCTTGCTTTCTTTCATTTTTGTTTGTTCTTTTTTTCATACAAGGATGAAATCATTTTTATATTGCATGCATGAATATTTATATTTTAGAACGTAATAGTGATTACAATCGTTATTAATTAATCGTTATGAATAAACACGTTGACAGTACACGTGAGAACGTACGAATATAACATTGATGATATGTATATATTCGAATGGGAATACTTATGATTTAGCATCATTTAAAAAGAAATATATTAATATAATATATATATATATATATATATGTTATTTCGTATGAATAAATGTTCAAAAGTTACGAAGATATTATTATCGAATAGTATTCATAATATTTAGAAACGAAAACGAAGAATTTTTTCTATTTCAAAAAAAATATATGTGTATATGTTTCTTTTTCTCTAATACGTTGGGGTCTTTCAAACTCATATATCAGGGTCATTTATTGAAGTTTAAAATTTACTTACATATGTTGAATTTCCTTCAAATTTGGTTTAACGAAAGATCACGTTGATTCGATTGTAAACATGAATCTAAATCATACTAATCATATGATTTATTATTTTTGTTCAGAAAAAGAGGATATGTGCCTTTAACAGCAGATAATGTTGCAGTCATTCTCTCAAATTTAAAAAATAAAAAACATTTTCTGGATGTCCAATGTGTGAAGATTATTTGAATTAGAGTAAAATATCTTACATTAAATGATCTTGAAAGAGACCAAAATATTTAGGTTGATTAAATCGTCACGTAACAAAATAAACGTTTAATAATCTAAAAAAAAAAATAAAGGTCACCTTGAAATTTTAAATGTATATCCATCTAGATAAGATTAGTGACCACTACGAGACGACCCCCCACTCTCTCAAATAAAATAAATTCTTCTTGTAACATTTTTATTTGTGAATAACGAATAATTCAAAATTAAATATACAAATTTATATCAAACATCCCGTATATATTTAAATATATTACATTAAATACATAATCTCTTGTTATAATATAAAATCGTTAATAATGATTAAATACATTAATACAATATATTTCTATATATGGGTATCAATATATTCTATATACGAGACTCCATCGATCATCGATTCATATTTCATGAAACTTCTTTAAATGATATCGCATTTCATAGCAACGTTAATTTATTGAAGTCGTTTAACTTCTTACACGATGTTTCAAAGTATACCTTTTTTAATCGAATCATGATTAACTTCTGTATTTACAGAAAGTGTCGAAACATCGTAAGGTTTTTTCTTTTTTCTTTTTTTACATTGATTTCGTACCCGTCCGATAACGAAATTTATTTAATTTGAAAAAAATGCGTCGATGTTTGTAGATAAGCCGAATATTTCAAAAAAATAAAAGAAAAAATAAATAATACCAAGAAATATAAATGTAAGAATTTTAGAATATTTTTCATTTTCGAGATTGTCAGAGGAGAAGAATTGTAATTGTTGTATGTATGATTCTATGTAATACCTTCGATTATTCCCTTATCAAAGTAGATTGCAGTACTTAAAATCAGTTTACTGGATGATAAATTTGTTGACGAAACGTCGTCGAATTATTTATAAAAACTAATCTCTTTTCTAAATAATAGTAAAAAAAAAGAACCTCGTTTTATTTTGAAGAAAAAACTCGTTCATATCTGGTTTTAATTTTTTTTTTTTTTTTTTACAAATCTATTGAAAAATCATCAATTATATTTGTAAATTGTTTATAGCATACATGTACAAAGATGATATAATCGCAGAACAATTATCGAGAATCATGTTTAAGTACAGAGGAAGAAACTAATGAACAGTTATAACATACGAACCTGTTGCACAACTGACAAAGTTTAGTCAATTATAAATGAGGATAATATACTCGACTTAATTAACAAACACACGTGTATCGTCGTAACATCGTATTCTGATTTTGCGCTAGATTATATTCATTCATTTCCGCCAAATTCTATTCGAGTAATCCTACCATATCTCACATTCAGAATTATCTCGAAATAATACATCACATTATTTACCCCAATGCCTACCACAGCCAATGATACATTAATATCTGTCATATATACCAGAGCGATAATGAAATCAACTAAAAATGCTTTATTGCATTCCCATTTATCTTCTTCGTAATCTATTTTATTCCTAGAAAAGATCAATATGATATATAATATATATGTATGTGTGTATTGATCATTACGATAGGTGAATCTTATTTCAAATTATTTCTAATGTATATAGAAGTATGGATGGATATGAAGATTAAATCACAAAATTGAAAGAAAGGAAAAGGGAAATTATTAAAAATCAAGTATATACTCTATCATTTACATTTAAGTATTACAATCACTCGAAAGATAGAATAAATAATAAAATAACTTGATGATCCATGTATCCCTACAAAAATCGATTAGTGGATTTGAATTTGAATTAGATATACGTATATCATCGCTTTTTAATTTATTATATGATTAAAGAATTTTCTAGTGACAAGTTGTCACACCATCTGGTTAAATGTTTGAGTCGTTACAGAACGTTCAAATTTTGACGCCATCTGTTCGACGAGATTCAAACTTGTCTGTCAGTTAAAAATCGTCGCGCCATTTTCACGAGGAACCAATGACAGAGCAGGGAGATAGTGCGGGCGCGTTCGCACGTGTGTGTCAGATAGTGTTGTATATTTGGAATAATAAACGATAATGTTTTAGAGAATTACATGCGTACAAGTACGTGTGTTGTTTGGTATAGTGTTGTGATTGTCCAACGATACAATCTTAGGTCACTATTCTTTGTGGTGATATCGCCGTTTTGCGGTTTGCTTTTGAGGTTAGAAGAACGATTCTCGTCGTATTGCCACCTATTACTTTTGATTTATCGTATATGGAATATTTAAAGAGACCAGGAAATCGGACAATACAATTTGGGTACAACAAAGTTGTGGCTAGTAACATCCGATGACGTATTCTTGAAGGAGAGGGACGAAGAAAAAAATACAAAACAAAGAAATAGAAGGAGAGAAAACTATATATATATATGTATATTTATACATATAGGTACATACTCGGCTGCATAGGTAAAAGCAGAGCGAGTGAGTGTATGAGAGAGAGAAAAATAGAGAGTGTGCGTACGCGAGTGAGAAAGAGAAAAAACGGTGGAATAAGGAAAGGATGATGATGTTGAGGGGGGGAATTGGTAGCGATAGAGTGGGGGGAAAAGAGAGAAAGAGAAAGACGGTTTCTTGTCAAATGCGCGGGCTTTTTTCCGGGTGTGGTATGTGCGTGTGGTAAACACCCCTTAATCGGTACAACATCGACGAAGAAAAAGAGAGGGAAAATGCGAGTTAACGAAAGAAAAAGACAAACGTATATACGAAAGAGAGACGACACATTGACGACGACGACGACGAGTTTGACGAGTGCAGGAGATGGTAAAATAGCTAGAACGAGAGAGAAAGAGATAGAATGAGCATGAGCGTTAGAGCAGCAGCAGCGTGAGTATGAGTGAGTGAGTGAGTAGTGAGAATATATACACATTGAGTGGTGAGATATAAAACGAGATAGCAATAGCAAAAGAGTAAAAGCGAGAGAGAGAGAGAGAGAGAGAAAGAAAGAAAGAGAGAGTGCGAGCGAGCGAGGTTAGGGGGGGTAGGGTCGGTAGAGAGAGAAACAGTTTTGTCAAGAGGAAGGGAGGCGGCAAGCTTCGCCAGTGGAACGAAGCGAGAACGACAGCAGCAGCGGAAGAGCGAAGAGAGAAGGAAAGGATCTCCGTCAAAATGTCGCTGAGAACGCCAACGCGGATACAGTGATAGGGCTTTCATCGTATATCACTGCGGTATGCAGCTTTTTCCTTCGATTCAATCAAATTCTTTCATCATCGAGTTCTTCTTGCGTTCATCGAACGATCGATTATTGTTGGATTCGGTCGTGATTAATATACGAATCTCTTATTCAAAAGAGTAAGAGAGCAAGAGAGAGAGAGGGAGAGAAAGAGAGAGTCGATGTAGATGCAAAAGATAGATAGTCATGGGAGCATCGATTGCGCACGATCACCCGGTTTCCCTCTATTTGTTTCCCTCGGGCTCCGCGTTGTTTCGTCGTGGCTGCTACTGCGTGTAACGACATCGCACACCACGATCAACCTCTGAAACCTCTTTCTTCTATATTTTTCCTCTATCTGACAACGACAGCTAATACTACTACTACTATTACTACTAATATTACACTACTATTATTATTACTTCTACTATTATTTATTACTACACTATTACATACCACCATCACAACTACACTACTACTACTATTACCTACAACGACGACGACGACGACGACGACGACGACGATCACGACAACAACGAGCATCATCGTCGAGAGATAGAAAGAAAGAGACACGATTCATATTAGTTAGAGACGATTTTTCACCCGGCACATGCTTTCGTCATCCTTATCGTGCTTTTCCTCCTGTTGATCGTTGTAAACTCTCTCTCTCTCTCTTTCTTTCTCTTTTTTTCTCTTTCTTTCACTCTGTTTCTCTCTCACTCTTTCTCACACACGTGAAGAAAAATTCATAGTCGACTACGGCTCGAGTTCGGCTCACGAAGCCGATACTCCAGGTATCTCTTTCTCATCCTCCCTCTCTCAATCCTTCAACACTTATTTTTCTCTGAATATTTATTGTCCTTGATGATCATTACGAGAGGATACAAATCGTCTATCGAGTGTTGACATTTAGTTTCTTTTCTTTCTTTATCTCATTTTCATCCTTCCATTTATTTTCAGTTAGTTAATTTCGTGATTAATTTCGTTAATTTGTTCGAAATCGTTGCGAAAAGAGATGATGGACTTGCCAAAAATGTGTATCGTTAATACGTTCAATTCGATTCTAACAAATCGATCTCCAACAGGCCGATCTTTTGTTTCTAAAGCTCCTTACCTATTAACATTATTCCATGGTGCTTTAATTCTCAAGCTTTGGACACGTTATCGTTTCCTCAGACATCTACGAGTTTTTAATGGCTTTCCGATTTCAAGCTCTTCCTCCTTGAAATACGATATTGCTCTTTCGTCATCTGCGTGTCTCAAAAAGGATTCCACTCGTTAGTGCTATTCGTCGTTTATCTATTTATCTATTTATCTATCTTTTCATTTTTCTTTTCCTCTTCCTCAAAGTGTTTTTGTTCATTATACATTAACGACTGTTATGAATATTTAAAGGGACAAAAGAATTGTTTTACGCGGCCGCGTATATATAATTATTCTTTCTATTAGTATAATTGGTGATTCAATTGCGTTTTATTTATCGATTATATTCTTCGTTTTATTTTTTTTTTTTAACCCGAAAAATATCTTATTGCGTTTATTTCTATATAAATGTTCTGATTGTTAAAGTATATATGTGATATGTGTATGTTGACATTTAGATTTTATTTGATTTTTTAGTGAGTGATCACAATTAGGATTTATTTTTAATGGAATTTTCTCTAATCATTTATCTGCGCATTATCATTCATTTTGTATTTATTTTCAGGTTTGGCGTAGTATCGGCTGTACATGAAGAAAATGGTGTCGACGCGTCAATCTAGTAGCATGGGTGCACACAACGGAGGAGGCACTGTTAACGACATCAGGGAAGTTAGTCCGTTGAGAAAGCATCAGGCTTCCCTCCCTGCGGGACCTTCCAGTGCATCTCCTACAGTTACTCTTCCTCCGATCTGCAACTTAAGCCTTTTTGATTTACCGGTGGAAATCATTGAGAAGATATTTAGTTATTTGAGCTATAACACTGTAGCACACTTACGTCCAGTAAGTCAGATTAAATATGTTTTTTATCTTCTACGTTAACTTGCTCTTGTCAGAATTAAATCACTCGTTTCTCATTTTACAGGTTTCCCATCAAATGGACCGTGTCTGCGGAAACATTCTTAATTCAGCATTTCAAAAGCTGCAAGCACAAATGTTGACCCGTTTTCAATCGATTAAAGCTCAAATGCCTAGACGTGAATCAGCACGTCGCAATCATCCATTAGCATGTGAATCGGATATTGTAGAAACATTACATATGCGACTTACTTTACTTCAAATGTGTTTTGGTAAACACATAGAGAGAAAACATTGTTGCTTTTTTCCTGGAGAGGTAAATCGAATAAAAACTTTAGACTCTTAAAAGGATATAACATTCACTCATTAACGTTTTCATTTTAATCTTGACAGATTTTGGATGAAGTTTTTCGTATATTACATTATATAAAGGTTACTCCAAAATTAGCACGACCTTACAAAGTCACAGATGAATTATTTGACTTAAGTACTATGGCCATGGAATATTTTAAAGAACGTATCGAGCCAATGCTACCGGAAATTCCATACTTTGGAGCTGATTTTCTGGATTTAGCAGGGACATTCCCTTGTGAGTAATAAATAATTATTTATATTTATTAAATTTAATATTGCTATGTCTGATTACTTCAATAATTTAATTTAAATTTCGTATATGAATATTGCAGCAGCTAGTAATGTTAGTAAACCGTTTATGTGCCTGGATTCCGCACCTCTGAGTGTTGGAAGCAGTAAAGCAGGAAGTGGTAGCGGAGAAGAAGGTTCTCCTCCGCATTCTTCCGAAGATCCTGCTCTCTTAGAAACGAATATTTCACCTCCCCAATCAAACATGGTATTACGGAAACGGATTCGTAAAATAAAACAAGGAATGAAAAGATACAACAGTCAATTGACGTTGATGCGCAGGGATTTAAGGAGTTGTAAGGCAAAAATAGCTGAGCAACAGAAACAAATTGTTGAATATGCTACGCGTCTCGACGACAATGACAAAAAGAACGAAGAGACATCTCGCAAGTTTAGTACGCTCCTACAGGTATTTACCCAGGTATATTTAGTATACAAGAGAGAGAGAGAAAGAAAGAAAAATAGATCCGTTTAATTTGTAACATTTAAATAATCGATTTTGAAAAAAAAACAACAGAAAAGAAAATCGATTGATCGATTGAAACTAGGCATACTCGTATAGAAAAAAATATAAAACTATATTATTAAAAATGTCAATTGAAATGTTGTAGGAGTTAAATAAATGTAAGACGGAACTTCAATATTGGCGGTCTAAGTCACCTGCGATATCCGTTTGCGGTAATTGTGGTCAATCTATGCCTGTACCGACTGAAGATCTGCAAGCTTTAGTCAATCAAGAGGTAATGCCAGAGGCATTTGGAGAAGGATTGGATTTCATCCCAATAGCAGATGAACACAGTCCCACGGAAGTTGTACCATCAGCAACGGTTACGCAATCACCATCGCCTGCGGTGCTCTCGGAACCTGCTGAAATGGCACCTCCTAAAGAACCTATTATAACACCGGATTCCTTAAAACGAAAATCTAGTGTGGATGAAATACCGAGCGACGCTACGAAAAAACCACGTCGTACTGCCAAGTCTCGTCAGGCTAAACGCTCAAAGCTATAAATTGATTCTGATCATGGTACAAATATCTATTCTTATATCTCTGATCGGTTTTCCAAGAAGAAGGTATATTTCATTATTATTTTTCTTTATTCTCTGTATGACGAATAATCGCATCAATGGCAAGTTCTGTTACGAAGATACACGGAGACACACACACCACACACACACACACACAGGCAGGTGTTGGATGATCTTAGAAAAGTACAAAATTCTTTCCCGATCGTCCCACGACGCGCGCTTCGCATGCAACGAACCCCTCTTTTCGAAATTTCTATAGTTCAATTATATTCTTTTTGAATCCTTACTACGGATGTAAGCGGGGGAAGAGGTTGTGTGATGATCGATGCAGTTAGTTTAAAATTTATTTATTCTAAAAAAACGGACGCTACATGCTCTTGCAATCACAACGTGTGATACCTGCATATATTCTAAATGGTAGTACATTATTTCCGACATTTCTCGTAACGCAATGTCTATCTCTCCAATTTTCTTTCGAAGACTTCTTAGAGTATTCTCTATTATATCATTATCGCCACACACATGATATATCCGAGGATTACGGAAGGCATTGGACATTTTGTTTGTCGGCTCTAAGAATTATTTGTTTATTTTCTTAATTCTTGACATTGTTCACGTAATTTTTTAACAATCCACAAATAAAACAACGTTACTCCTTGATTGATTAAAGCCTGTAAATCTTCCGTTGGTACGGGCATAGATTGTTAAACATTGTTGGAATTGTAGAATTTCGAAAGATCAACAAACGAGATTTACCTTCTGTTTTCCTTGGACAAGTAACGAGCGGGCACCAAGTTCGTATCTTGTTTTTAACGTGATATAATAATATAATTATAATAATAAATAATATGTTTTTCCGTAGTCTATAAACTAAACACTTCATCCCAATATTTTTCGTGAAAATCGTCATTTAAAAAAAAAAAATATTCTAACTGACGTGATGGGATGGTGTTTGGTATTGAAATTGTATAAAATGAAAGAAGAAGAAGAAAAAAAAGGAAAGGAAGAGAATGCTTGTATAAAATGATTGTTAACAACACTTAGTTGTAATTCTGGAATAGAAATTTCACGTTGTGCATGGCTATCGAGATATCGCCAGTGGTTAACAGTATATATCTATATATTAATATAATTAAATTATAGTCTTTTTCTTGCGCAACAAAAAATATGGTGAATATCATCGAGTTTGTAGGATTTTTATACGAAGTAAAATAATAAAAGAGTGAGAGGAGGAAGAGGGAGAGAAAGAGAGAGAGAGAGAGAGAGAAAAAAAAGAAATAAGACAGAACAAAAAAAATGAATATGAAAATATAGAATCATAATTAGGAAACTAAATCTCTCAAAAAATTGCTTGGTAAGTATCAAAAAAGTAAATACAAGTAAGCCGTTCACAGGTTAAAGCAATTAACTCCACTTTAAAAATGTTTGTAAACATTTATTATTGAAGTACTCGATCAATATCAAACACTTTTAATATTTCAAATAAATCTTAATAATTAGTCTTAGTAGCCGTGCAATGAATAAATAATACTACGGTGTATATTAATTAATTCTTTGTATTTTGTTTTTTTTTTTTGTGGAGCTAATTGATTTGACAAATGAATGGCTCATATATATACAAAATACACAAAATTCGTGAATGGTTTCGTAAAAAATATTTGTAGCGCATTCAATTTCTTTTATATTTTTTTATTTTTAATTTCATTATTTTATTTTATATATTATTATTATTTTTTTTTTTCTTTCTTCGTACGGTGATCCTTCGAACTTTTGAAATAGATAAATGAACGAATTTGTTCATTTCACGTAAAAAATAAACGTTTGGTTAGGAGTCAAACGGATACGAAAAATTAGAAATATATAAATATTGAACATAGGAAAAAATTACTTATTGAAATAATTTATTCGGATTAATTAATAAACCTTTCCTTTCCTTTTTTTTTTTTCTTATTAATTTTCCGCGGTTACCCCTCGTCAGTAGATATCCATTTCGTTACATGAATACTTTTAACCTCCGAATAAACGTATCGCAGGATAATAATCAAAGGGGGTAAAAGTCAAAACAAAAATCGTTTAAAACTCGAACGAATATATTTTTGTTGGCATCTGACCCTTAATAAAAGAAAAAATAGAGAAAGGAGAAAATAGAAAATGAGGAAAGAAACGTCAGAACGAGACGTTAGATAATTTAAACAAAATAATGTGTTATATATACATACATACATACATATATATAAATATATATATATATATATATATATATATATATATTATTTTCTCACAACATAGAGAGAGAGAGAGAGAGAGAGAGAAAGAGAGAAAGAGAGAAAGAGATAGAGAGATAGAAAGAACGTCGTCGCACAAATGGTGATGCGATTTGTTAATCTGCTAAGAGACGGCGTGGTATTGCAATATTAATAAAGCTAGGTAATTATTTATAGGAACAATTATTTATAGAAGAAAAATACAAACAATTAATAGCAACAATACAAACAACAAAATGAATGGGCATCGAGAAGAGTTACCCTTACAAATTTACAAATGCAACAATTGTCAATAATATCAAAACAATGTCGTTGTTATTAAAAGCATAAAAGCTTTGAAAAAACAAAGAATGGTAGAGAAAGAGAGAGAAATCAAGAAGAAAAAAAAAACAGAAAGGATTACATATATAAAAAAAAAATTATTTAAATGTCGGGGGTGAACGTAAATTCAAATTGTCATTTGTTCATAATTAATTATATGGAAAATCGGTTTTCAATGTCTGACGTTTTACCCTGTGCGATGCTCGATGATAAACAGGATTTCGTAGGAAACAAGTTAATCGTCTTATTTGCACCGATCATCCAATTAATCTCAAAGAACTGTAGTTAGACATATTGTGAGTTATTCATGATTCTAGTAATAAAGATAAATAAAATAAATAAATAAATAAAAAACAAAAAAAATACACATAATGATAATAAGTAAATAATACTTCATTATGAATTTATGTGTATATATATATCTATATATATATATATATATATATATAGATATGTATATGCATATATGCATGTATATGCACTTGCCTGGATAGACATGTATATGTATATAATTACATATATATATATATACATATATATATACATACATATGAGTGGGCTGCTCGCCAAAAGTGCATGTCACTTGGAGCATTTTAGTTTAAACTTTAATGTAATAATAAAATATAATAATTGATAGAGACAGAGACAGAGAGAGAGAGAGAGAGAGAGAGAGAGAGAGAGA